GTATGTTGGCTCCCTTTCTGTTAGCTAGTCGGCCAGGCAGAGGGGCAGCATTTAAAAGGGCAGCATTTGGATTTTCTTCCCGTTTCTTGCAGACAGCTAACCTGGACTCTCTGTCAGCCCTCTGGTTGCCCTGAGAAACCACAGTGTTTCCCTTTTGATGACCTCGGCAATATATAATCACAACCTTCCTGGGAGCCCATAGTGCATCCAAAAGTTTAAGAATTTCTTGCCCATACATTATGCCCCCTTTTTTTTCTCCTGAGTTAATTAGCCTACATAAGGCCCTATGGACCTGAAGGGTAGAGAACGCATATTTTGAGTCTATGTAAATATCACAAACAGACTCCTGCTGTCAACTGAGTCAAAGAAGTAAGTTTTACTTTTGTGCTGAAGTTCCCTGAGGCAGAGGTTCTGCCTCAACAGTGGAGTCCAGGGTGACCACTGCATACCCAGCAAAACATACCCCATCTTTTATGAAACTGCTTCCATCTGTGAAGAACTCTGCATCAGCGTCCCCGAGGGCTGCTCTGCCAGGGCTGCTCTGCTGGAGAACACTTCACCCATGACCTCAACACAGTGGTGATCGGGTTGTCCAGGTCTAATGGGCAGCAAAGTTGCTGGGTTTAGAGTTCTGACGACCTCAACCCAGATACATGGGTTTTCATATTATATGCTCTGATATTTGACCATTTTTTAGTTAGTCAACCTATAGTGTCCTTTATATTCTAACGATGTCAAAATTGAATGAGGAACTCTAACAACCAGTTCTTGTCCCATGGCCAGTTTATCAGCTTCCAACACCAGAAGAGCTGTGGCTGCAAGAGCCCCAAAAAAGGTGGCCAGCCCTGGGCTACAGAGTCCAGCTGTTTGGACAAATAGGCCACTGGACCTGGATGGTGCCATGTCCCCAGCATCTGAGTCAAAACTCCCACAGCCACTCCAGATGGTTCATGGACATACAGAAAGAAAGGCTTAGTGAGGTCAGGGAGCCCTAGTCCAGGTGCACTGGTGAGTGCTTGTTTAATGTCCTCAAAGGCCTTTTGCTGTGCTGCCCCCACATCAGAGGATCTCGTTCTCCCCCCTTTGTGCTTCATAGAGGGGTTTTCCATAACTGAAAGTTGGGGATCCGTATGTGGCTGAACCCAGCAGCCCCCAGGAATTCTCTGGTCTGTTGGCAGGTTGGAGGGACTGGAACTGAGCAGATCTCCTGTTTCTGTTGAAGCCCAGTGGTTGTTCTGTTCTGTTGCTGAGTCAGATGGTAACCAAGGTATTTGGCTTTTTTTTTTTTTTTTTTTTTTTTTTTTTGATAGATGTGGACTTTAAGTCAGAGTCCAGTGCTGTCCCAAGGATGGTGTACTCCAGCCCCTGGGAGGAACTGTCATTTAGGGAAGGGAGGCGCACACAGAGCCTCTGGTGCTTTAAGATGCAGGAATTTTTTGTTATCTCCCTGTACAGGATCTTGGCTGCTGGGATTCTCCAACTCTCAAATCTCATGTAAATCTTAGCAGAGGCTGATGACCTGGGACACCATTTGTATAAAAGGCACCGATGTCAGTCTC